AAGTAGCAGGTTCCACATGTTTTGACTGCTTGTAATATGATGCTTGTTTTTCTACAGTCTCATCAACAGCAACCTGATGCAAGTTTTGGGTTAGCCCGGCCCCGGTGAGGGGCAGGGGCCATGCCTGCACCCTGCCTGCTCAGAGTTGAGCATAAAGTGTGATGGGCTGTGAGAGCCGCACATATTTCAGTTGGCAGGAGTGCAGGCATAGAGAACCAAGGTGGGCTTGAGTGGATGGATCAATTCTATGGACACCTGCATCATCCATTCCCCCCTTCCTTGGTTGCAATGGAAGCTTCTCCCATCCATGATGAATGATGAAGAAGCTCCACGTTTCTGGAAATATATCTAAATCAGCTCTTTTGAGAGCTTTGTTTACCCCATATGATGACGAAGATGATGATCTAGAAGAATTTTAACAGAGCTGGGAAAGTATGTGCTCTGCTTGGATGAAGGTATGCTCTCAGGACACGCATGAGTGCATGTATATATGGAGACACAAATACAAACACAAACACAAACACAACACAAACACACATTCACACATGCTCATACACCACCCAGAATGGTGTTTTATTGAAGATCCAACTTGAACACTTGCATCATCTTATGAAAAAACTTGAGTACTTGCACCGACGATGAGATGCACAGTAGGTGACAGTGGATAGGATGATCTGATCTCGCAGTTGATATGCCAGTTTCCAACTTCTCCTTGGATAGACTTTTGTGTATATATTCATTAAATAGAAGCATGAACAAATCGCTTTGGATTTTGTTTTGCAGGCTTTGGTAGTTTGTTTAGAGAGTAAGCAGCACAATGAAGAGCCAGAGGGAGTGCGAATAGGAAGATAAAGCTATTTGTATGCCTCTGGGAGCTTTGGTCTACATCCAGGTTGTTCTGACAAAAGATCTTATAGTTTACTTTTAAAGCTTTACTAAAACAATCTGCAGAAAAAAATAAAAAAAAAAGTCATTCTGCATCATGTATCATATAACACTTTGGTCTGCATTTATTTATTTTTATGACCACCTTTGTTTTATTTGAATGTGATAATTATCTGTTGTAGCAATTCTAAAACCCTCGCCAGGTCTGTGGGTCGTTAAATTGTGTGCACTCTAGACATGTTGTTTTTCAGGCTGCATCCAATGATATCGCATGAATCTAAAAAGTTTTTGGTTGTGACTACCTAAATTTTTTCATTTTGGTGTGGTGTTCTTTGCCGGACAAGTATTTCGAGTTTGGACACAATGTGCCCGAGAAAGTAGGTCAGAATTCACTATTGGGTGTAGCTACAGGGGCTTGTAAGATGTTTGTCAAAAGAAGGTTGCTTTATTTCCCGTATGCAAAGCTCACTGCTCTGTTTCTTGGTCGAAAGCGCACTGCTCTCTTAAGAGTCACTAATGGTGCTTTTACAGCTTGTAGTAGCAAATGTTTTGAAAGCAAGATGCG